ATGTCTTTAGAAAGCCATTGGCTCTTCTGGATATTTCCACTTTCCCTCCTCCCCTCTGGGAGTTGCCAAGAGGGTAGGGAGCCCTTGGCAGCAGCAATAATACAGTTGCTTTGGCTGTCTTCAACAACTGAGAAGAGAATGATAAGTTTACTCTGACATGACAAACGTGCTCTGTTCCTAAAGAAAGAAATTGTTCCAAGCCAAGGAAAACTCAGTTATTTAAATAAGCTCGTCACTACCTGACAGCAGTTTGCAAGCATTTTTGGAAAATTGATGTTTCTTCCAGCTGATGGAGCCACTGAGCATGAGTTAGTTAAAGGGGCTGCTGGCCTGGCATGTCCCTGTGATGACCCTGAGGTGTTGTCCCCACAGAACCCCAGGAACTGCCCTGTGAAGGGTTAATGGGAAACCCACAGTAAGGAGGTATCTTCCCTCTGAAATGAAGTGCTCAGATCTATAAAGAATCGCTGAGGAGTTCTCTGTTTACAGCTTCCTTGGGCTACAGAGTCTGTGTTCTGGCAAGTCCACCCATAGGGTTCAGATGGGTGTGGAGGGAGAAGATCTGCAGCTTCTGCTCAGTCCTCATTGTCCCCAGCACATGTGGCTAGGGCAGTCACATAAAGGTGAAATAGCATCAAAACTGTTTTGTCTTCCAGGGAAGCAGCATCCCGGTGGTCTCTTCCTCCTCCCAGTTTCATCTCTGGGACAGGTGTCTCATGGCTCTCAACCCCCAGTCAGTGACCCATCCAGCTGCAACCTTGGGTCTCCCCCACTCCCTCCAACCTCTTCCAGCCCTCTTTGTTTCCTGTCCCATCCCCTCTTTAAAGAAAGGCAAATCAAGCCAGGCATTGGTAGCATACCCCTTTAATCCCAGCACTTAGGAGGCCAGCCTGATCTACCAGAGCTAGTTCCAGAACAGGCTCCAAAACAATACAGAGAAATCCTGTCTTGAAAACCAATAACAGCAACAACTAAAGGCAAATTATTTCAATCTCTTATCACCCCACAAACAAATCCTGAAATACAAGTTAATAATGTTTATAAATAAATCTACATCTGGCTTTCTTTGATAAATGTATGCAGCCAGTAAATGTACCAGTTCTCTGTATATAGCAAGGGACAAAGTATCCTGGGGGATACATAGCAAAAAATAAGAACAAATCCTTAAATGTCAAAATTCAATAATAAAGTTCCCAGTAAGATGACACTGCAAGGCCACTGACATAGCAGTAATTAAGACACTGCCAAGCGTTGATGGTGGAGTGTAGAAAACCTGGACCCATCATTGCAGATGGGAGTGTACAATCGCGCAACCACTTTATAAAAGAGTATGTTCATGTTTTCAGTGGGGAAACAAAGCTTACTATATAGCCCAACGATTGCACTCCGGAAATCTCCGCCAAGAGAAATTAAGATGTATTTGTACACAAAAGCTCATATGTGAAAGTTGATGGCATCATTCTTCATAATAGTCACAAACTGAAAACAATCTAAACTGTCTGTTAAGTGATGGCTGGGTGAGCAAAACATGTTATAGTCATGCACTGGAATGTTATTTTTAAATTAATATAAATGAAGTTCTGGCACACGCTGCATGTGAGGAAATCTCAAAAATATACTTAGTGAAAAATGCTGAAACATAAAGCTACACATTGTGTGATTATGTTTATATGAATCTAGAAAAATGTAGGTATGTAGACGCAACTGAGCTATGAATGTTTGTCGGGATCTACAATCTGATTATCTACAAATGGTTTTAAGGAGACTTTGGGTGGGGGGGAGAGGGGAGATAATGGAAGTGTTAAAACTGGATTGTGGTAATTGGTATACTCAAGTACAATTATACTAGGAAAGTTTTATGGAATGTGAATTTACCCCATGAGGCTGTTAATTTTATTTACATCGTGTGCACCAGGATCAGTGCAGTAAGCTTTTTTTCTGTGTTAGAGACCGGAACTGTGGTCAAAAGTTGTCTGTTCAGTCCTTGAGTTCCCCAGGAAGTTGCTCTCACCAGGAGGAAATAGATGAGACTACCTGATCTTGGACTTTTACTCCCCAAATTGAGCTAAATAAGCCAGTTTTCTTTTTGTAACAAATTACCAAGCTTACAATATTTCATCATAGCAACAGAAAGTAATGATTACAGAAGTCAGTGTATATTGGCCACCCCATAGTAGAACACTAATTTCCATTTTCACTTAAGGATGCCCTCAATGAAGCAATATAAAATAAATTTCATTACATCTTGTGCTTGGAGGCATATCTTGACAGCCTAGCATTGCAGTAGGAGATGTACATAAAGCATTTCCTTTGCCTTCCCAAGGGTGGTGTCTTTGTGAAGAGAAGCATTTCCACAGTTGGTGGAATTGTTAGCAGAATTAGCAGTCTTTAAATGGATGGTGTAACTCCTTAAAACAAAGATCCTGGATGCTCAAGCCTGGGAATTGGGTGCATATTTCCTCAAAAATTAATGAAGAAGGATTGTTCAAGGTAAATAATTGGCAGCAGTTTGTTTTTGGGTTTGCCAGTGATAAAATTCAAACCTTAACCAAAAACTGTAATGTTTGAAAGCTTTGTATCTACCATTATGAACTTGACAACAGTCAAGATATTTCTGGTGGTATAGGTGGAGATTTCAACAAGTGCATTCTTTTAAATAATGTGAGTGTAGTGTCAATTTTTGAAGAAGATGAATACAAGTGTTGGGTTCTAAATGTTTGAGAACTGTGGCCTAGTAACTAACAGTGTGAACTCTGGAGTTAGGCTACCTGAAATAAACCCTAATATCACCACTCATTACTTGTATAACCTCAGTTAAAATTCTTCATCTCTCAATGCCTCAACTTGCTCACCTGTAAAAGGGGAAATAAGTGACGAGGCATGATGGTGTATACTGTAATCTCAGCACGATAAAGCTGAGGAATAAGGCTTGAGACTTCAAAACCAACACTGTCTCAAGAAAGAAAGAAAAGGTAATAAAGTAATACCTAACTGAGATGCTGTAGGTGTGAAAATTAGTTGATGTATACAAATATATATTAACTAGAACACTGTCTTACTTAATAAGTTGTTACTGTTGGTCTTGATGAATAGTAATTTGTAAACTAAAGACATAAGTGCATACTAGAAAGTTTTGCCATTGAACCTCTGCCATTTGGGAGTTTGTTCTTAACAAGTATGTATAGTAGGTTTTTTAGTGAAGATTTGAAGAGGTAATATAATTATTCAGGGTAGTTTAATAAGAATATAAATATGTTACAGTTCTGTGACATTTCAGTTTCCTTGCCTCTATGATGTTGAAGATTATGATGTATCATTTGAGCTCTAGGAATTTGGGAGATTATGTAACCAGAGAGGAGTGGCACCTCATCCTTTCCCACTCTCGGTGTTTAAGAAAACATACAGCTTCAAGGAGACAGTGACCAACTTGGGAAAAATCTGTGTTTTCCACCCTGCCTGGATGCTTCCCTACAACTGTTTTTCTTCTCCAAGATGTAGAGAGAGGCCAGTAGTTTTGCTGTCCCTGTTGGTGTGCTCTGCTGCTCTGTGCAGAACACCCTGCATGATTGCAGAACGCCCTGCATGACACTCGAGGTCCTTGCCACAACCCCAAGGGAAGCAGTGAACATTGAGCCTGGGCCACTGGAGCTGGTGCAGTAGTCTGCTAATTCTCCCACCTTCTTGGTGAAAGATCCAGTAACTATCTGCCCTTCCCTATCTACCCACAGAGCAAAGATTATATATCCCATACTTCTTATTAAACTTATTTCATTTTATCTGACACAGAATGCATGCAGAGAGAGCTTCTGGAATTAGTCCTCTCCTTGCACCATGGGTTCTGGGGGTGGAACTCAAGTCATCAGGGTTGTGTAATGAGCACTTTCACTCACTGAGCCACCTCACCAGCCTTGTTTTATACTTCTTAAATGCCCATGAATACATTATTTTAATATAAAGAAGGTAAGGTGGCCTGTAGGAAAATGGTAATTGTTTTCTTTTCCTAGAACATGAAATTACCATATTTTTAGAGTGCTAAGATTATGCAGACCCACTCGTGTTTGATGGTAAATAACAACCAGCCAGAGCATATAAAAGTTGATTGAATTTCACTGACTCAAATGGTGTCAGCTCTCTTCAGAGAGGCAGGGACACAAAAGAGTCCATTTGGGGTCCATCTGTTTCATGTCATCCAGGCTAGTCTGCATGTAGGGAAGCTGGTAAGCCAGTCCACTGTGTTATTTAACTCTTAAATCATGGTCTCTTCAATTTTGGCCACAATTCAAGTTCTTTAAGGATAAGTAGCCCCCTATTAATGAGCCTTAGGATGACCCTTCCTTCCATTTTAAGGGTCTTTAAGGGTCTGTTTTCCAGGCTGCAAATAAAGCACTTTGTTATGTTTCTGAAAAGCGGGATGGGAGTCTAAGAAAGTACACTTACTGATGCGCCAGCACTTTAATACCTGAATATTTCTTTCCTGTGTGGCTGCTATCCTGGAAATACAAAATCTTGTCAAGCTGAAAGCCAAAGACTTTTTTTTTAATCCAGTAGAATCTAGTTCCAAAATTTATTGTGAAATGAAACTGTTGGTCATTTGTAGTCATGGCCTTATCCTTGTCCCAGCTAGGGCTTTATTCACATTCCATGTTTTAGCATCTACACTACAGCCAGTTCACCTGGACAGGTAGACAGTGCCTGCAGTTGTCCCATTCCCTCTTTCTGACACTGGAACCTTTTGTCCATTCTCATACTAGCTGCGTGCTGTTTTCTAAACACAGTGGTACCTGTTATAAAGCCAACTCTTTTCATTACAGTAATGCTTGTTCCAATGTCTGGCAGGTTCTACCTGTATTGCGTAACATCTTTGCAAGGACCTTTGTCTTTGTGACCCATCCAGCTTCGGGAGAGGGACTCCGGCACATCAAAAAGATCATGAAGAAAATACTTTTATTATATAATCACGGGTTCTCATCTTGTCTTTTACATATGTGCTTGTGTTTCAGGAAAAAAGTGCCAGCTCGAATACAAGGCTTAAAACTAACAAAGAAATCCCTGGATTGGTCCATCAACCCAGAGCAAAGTAAGTCTGCCTTCTGTTTTCCTTGTATTATCCTTAACACTCCATTTTTGCCTACCAGGTATTCAAGATTTATTACAGAGCTTTAGTAATTGAGACAGTAAATAAAACATACTCTCAAAACATCCTCAGTGTCTATCAAAGCTGACAGTTTCAGGCCAGTTAGTAAAATAAGTAAATAAGAGGGATAGCTTTATAGCTCTCACATGAGGAGATCTTAATTAAGATATAAAATAATACAAATCTTAACGAAAGTTGCTGATTAATAGCTGCATTAAAATTGTGAATATATCTTCGTTAGAATATAACTAAAATTATAAATATACCTTTATTATAATCTAATGTAAGACAGCAGAGGTTGCAAGGCAAAGGATGACATACAACTGATAGAGTGGATTTTCCAGGAACTAGGAAATAGTTCTACAAATAAAATTGCAGAGACTAGGCTAAGACATGAATAGCCATTGACTGAAGAGAAAACCTGAGTGGCTGGTCTGTTTGAAAAAAGATGTTATTTCATTCTATCAGATTCTCGAAAATGTCTAAGTCTGACAACACAAAAGTTGGCCAAATCCACTTTAACCCTTGCTGGTGGGTTACACAGCAGGTGCAACTTGGGGTTGGAGCAATAATGGTCAGTTTTCCAATCTAGTAAAGATGAAGCTAGGCAAACTTTACCCTCCAGCACCTCCAGGGGCAGGCATATACCCTTGAGAAACATATCACATTTGTGCTGGGAGACATTTTGGAATCTCCAGCAGTTTAGATAAGCTTTTAGAAGTAAAACCAAGTGCCCATCAGTAATATAATGGATTAATAATGCTGTGGTGTATTCTTCTGATGGGAATGCTACATGTCAGTCAGTGAATAGAGTTGAGGAAGATACATGTTACACACATCGGGCAGGGCATTCTCAACAGTAAATAGCAAAATGTTTCCTTTAAATTCAAAGACATAGATAAGCAATGTTTTGTGTATAAGTATAGGGCAAAATAACAAAGACAAGCCAAAATATAAAAAAAGCATTAAGTTGAAAATGGTTCTTGACTGGGTGAGACACAGTCAGACTCAGAGGCCCCTGATCTGAGTGACATTTACATGATTGTTGCTTATAATATGTAATTTTAAGAGATCATTAACTTGAAATCATATGTTGTACCTAGTACATCTCCTTACTTACAAGCATAGATACTTGAAGATATTATCATGGCTTCCAACAGATGAACAAACTCATTAATCATCTTACTAAAATAGCTACTGTCCTGAGCGTGGTGGTGCATGAGCACCATCCTAGCACTTAGGAGACAGAGGCAGGAGGATTGCCACACATCCTTAGTGAGTTCCAGGTAAACCAAGACTACTCAGCAAGATGATGTCCTAAAAGAAGAAGTAAATAAAACAATGCATTAAAAAAATTGACTCATGGTTTAATATGAGACTACCATTATATTTCTTAAGAGAGGCTGTTAATCTTTAGTACTCTGATTAAGACCAAGTAAATTCCCAGGGATGCAAGCATATTTGATGTATATCCCCTTCTCTCTATTCTGTCACATCAAGATCATTAGCAGTAGAAGCCTGTCATTGCTAGGCCTTCCCGGAAAACAACCTGCTTCATGATCATTGTGAAAGCTATTCTTGGTTGTCAATGTGACTACACCTAAAATTAACTAAAGTTCAAATGACTGGACACACCAGTGAGGGATTTTTTCACAATCAAACCATTTGAAGTGGGAAGATCCACTTCTAATCTGGATCTTTGAGTCTGGGTTACATTGTCTGCTGAGAGCCTATATAATGGGCATAGAAGGAGGAAGCTTTTGCTCTCTGCCTGTTTGCTCTCCCCCAGCTACAAGTCCAATTCCTTCACTGGCATTAGACCCTACTTTTTCGATTCCAATGTATACTGAAGACCAGCTGAGACATCCAGCCTTGTGGATTGAACAACTATGGGATTCTTGGACTTTCTGTTCATAGGCAGCCAAGGTTGGATTAGCTGAACCACAGCCTATAAACCATTCTAACAAATCCCGGATGGATGGATGGATGGATGGATGGATGGATGGATGGATGGATGGATGGACGGACGGACGGATAGATATGTATTCATTCAAAGATGAATGATCACTTATAAATCTATTCAAGGGGCTAGAGAAATGGCTTAGTGGTTAAGAGCACTGGCTGCTCTTCCAGAGGACCTAGGTTCAATTCCCACCACTCACATGGCAGCTCACAATTGTCTGTAACTCTGGTTCCAGGAGATCTGATACCTTCACACCAATGCACATGAAATAAAGTTAAATTAATTTTTAATTAAAAATAGATAAGTAAATCCACTTAAAGTTGACTGTGTCAGAGTGATGGTACAGCTTATTGTTTCCCACTCAGGTTCCCACTGCTGGTCACCAGGCCCACGCCAGACAGCCTGTCTGATGCATCACTGCTGTGCACTGTGTCCATCTTTGCAGACCACAGTCAATCACCTTTCCATGAAAGAACCCTGAAATGGGGTGATCTTTTAAAAACTGAGTTTTAGGGGATCACTGTATGGGTGGATACTGCTCAATCCTGCTGGAGCAGTAGTTCTCAATCTGTGGGTTGCAACCTCTTAGGGGGTCACATGTCCCTTTCACAGGGGTCACCTAAGACCATTGGAAAACACAGATATTGCATTATGACTCATAACAGTAGTTTAAAGTAGCAACAAAAATAATTTTCTGGTTGGGAGTCACCATAACATGAGGAAATGTGTTAAAGGGTCTCAGCATTAGGAAGGTTGAGAACCACTATGCTAGAAAGAACACTTTAACCTTGACACCTGGAAGCTACTCCATCTGCAGGGAGAGACTGAATACAGCTTTTAGAGATTCATATTAAATGGACTTCTATGCTTACTTTAAAAATAGCATCTCCCACATAGCAGTGTGTGTGTGTGTGTGTGTGTGTGTGTGTGTGTGTGTGTGTGTGTGTGTGCGAGAGAGAGAGAGAGGAGAGAGAGAGAAAGAGAGAGCTGTAAGTTGCACACAGAATCTTGTGTACTTAGAATGCATTGAGAGTGAGGGGGAAAAAAAAGATAAATGCCCTTAACTGGGGCTGTGGAAATCAAATGCAGCATGTTTACACAATGACAATTGGTCAGCAGTTTAGCCAAGTGCTCTGCAGCAGTGCACAGCACTGCGTGAACCCCAATAATATGATATTATCCTACATTTGCTACACAGAGCATGCGGCACTCTATAAGTTTTAAAACTACAACCAAAATAGAGAACTGGTTATTTTAGCACATTCAGAGATACTGCAAGATAAAAGGCAAGGGATGGTTTCCCTGGAGCAGAGGGACATACAGCTGGGAACTAACCTTGGGTCAGCTATAGCTTGTAGTAATTAGTTTTGGTTTGAATTTCACAGCTGCTTATATTGTTTTGTTTTGTTTTTTAATTTCAAACCAAATAATTAAACAAATAAAAGTAGCTATTTATGAACTACCACTGGGAGGATGCCAGAAAGATTAGAATGAATTTTGTGCCCCAAAGTTCAGTTGGAAATGGCTGATGATCATGAAGAAGAAGAAAAAAAAAAAAAAAAACTGAGTAGGGTAAGATTAAGAGGAACCCAACCCAGTAGGTGAGCATTTTGGGTGAGCAGGTGTTGAGGAAGACCAAGCTTTGCCTGAGGAAAACAAGAAGTATGCTAAATTTGGGGTTAATTTTTAATGTATTTTTTTTGATTGAGCTTTTTTTGTTTGTTTTTTGTTATCGAGAATGGCCACTCCTGTTTGTTTACTTATGTTAGACATAAGGTGTCGTACTGTAAATGCCGCCTCAGTTTATTTTCTTCTTGCCTTATTTACTTTCCCATGAGGAAGAGGCTCCTATCAATTCCATTTTTGCAGAAACAAAAGCTAATAAAATTTTTCACAAGCACTGTCCTCTCCTAGCCATTCCCTTTCAAGGGGCTAGGCTATACATCCAGATTACAGATTAACAGGAAAAGCATATATGCTGGGAAGCTCTGTAGGAAAATGAAGACCCAAAGCTTTTGAAAACCTCAGTGTTGGTAAGTTGGGCAAAGAGGCAATGTAAGGTCTTGCCTCCTGCCTTAGTTAGGTTTCTATTGCTGTGATAAAACAGCACAACCAAAATCAGCTTGGGAAAGAAAGCTTATTTCACCTTACTGCTCATAGCTCGTCATTGAGGGAAGTCAAAGTAGGAACTCAAAGCAGGAGCCTGGAAGCAGAAGCATGGAGGAGTGTTGTTTACTGGCTTACTCAGCCTGCTTTCCCATGCCATCCAGGACCACCTGCCCAGGGATGACACCCCTGCAATAGGCTGGACCCTCCCACATCAATCACTAATTAAGAAAATGTCCCACAGGCTTACCTACAGCATTTTCTCAATGGCGGTTCCCTCTTTTCAAATAATTCTAGGTTGTGTCAAGTTGAAAGAAAGAAAAAAATCAGATTTGGATTGCTATGACAACGCCTTCATTTTGGCTAGTAGTCACTTGCTCTGCTGTGTCTTGGCCTCTGATGAAGGAAAATACATCATGTCCAGGAGCCTATGATACAGCAAAGCAGTTTACCCCATGGCAGCCAGGAAAGTGGATACAAGGAAAGACAGAGTCAGGGATAACATGAATATGTAAAGGGCCAGAGACAAAATGCAACCTTCAAGAGCCTGCCCCCACTGGCCTGCATCCCCCCCAGCCAAAAGCCCCACATTCTAAGGTTCCCACCACCTCTCAGTAACCCATTAAGCTGTAACTGTCAGTGAATTCATCAATGATGAGCTCAATAATCTAGTTGCTCCACCCCCAGAACATCTTCCTCTGAACCTTGCTGGATACTAAGCCTTGACAGCATTACCTTTGGGAAGTCATTATCAGATCCAAACCATATTACCGCCTTACATTTTTGTAGCTGAAGTTTTCCATACTTGGAAATTTTGTATGTCCCTAGAAATGAAAGCAGAATGCCTTTAGTTCTTAAGCCCATTTTGCCCATCATTTCTTCATTGGATTGCTTTGCATATGCAACTGAGTAGCAACTTCAGTAGAAAGCAAAGCCTCTGAGGGTGCAAGTTCTTACAGAACTTTGCTGTGCCCACTCCAGTATCCACTGAGCTTTGTTAGTTAAAGCAGGCACCACTATGTAGCTTTTAGTTAAAGTTTAGGTCTAGCGAATGTTAGCCCCACATATCATGCTGTATAAACTTGTGTCCCTTTCTAGTATGTAGAGTGGAAAGATAAGAAAGTGAGTGGCTTTTCCCCTTCTCTACCCAACTCACAGTCATCCAGTTGTGCATTAGGAAAAGAAGATGCTGAAAACAGAGTTGGTACCCAGACAGGGACTGGTCCTCACAGGGCAATTTGTCCTCTTAAATGCTGGTAGTAATGCTGCTATGTTGGTAGGATTTCCCATGTGATAAAGGGTAGCATCCATGTGTATCCAGCTAAGTGTTTGTTTCATCAGGTTCTGTGTTGATCAGATTTCTTTCTTCCCTCTGGAATGAGCCCATGGAAGAGAGGGTAAGCCCTCCTCTTTCTTACCTCACTAAAGGAGGTGATAGACAGCTAACTAGGACCTGGAGGGAGCATTTGCTCCTCTGGAGAAGTGTGCCTCTGACAGAAGCATTCATCTGAAGATGCTTATGTTGCCACACCTTGGCTTTGATAGTAACAAGCCCCTTTCTTATTCACTCAGTCCCACCTACAGCAGAAAGCATACTGGATTTCAAGAGTGAACTTGCCTGGTATGTAAAGACAGACAGGGAGCAGCCCCCTAACATCGGACAGTGCAAACTAAAAGTGCTGAGGTTTTTGTCCTTGTGTCTCCACACACATTCTTAGGCCAGTGGCCGTCACCTTCAGTCTCAAGTTCCTGATACAGAACCCATAGTAAGTTCATTGTGACCACAAAGATGGCAGCCACACTTGCAGATGCCCTCCCTTGTCCTCTGTGCGTATGTGTGGCTGCTAACCAGGCATGGCTGTTTTCACTGAAGATGTCAATGGAAGTCGACATCTGTAGATGGTTAGCAGTGGAGGCTTGCTTATGTGTGATGAGGAGTCTGAGGCCAGGCACCTGACCCACACTGCCTCTGTGAGGGGGGTCAAGAGTCACATGAATTTAAATAGCACTCCATTAGTTAATTAGCAAATGTGTGTTGCCTTGCTCTTGAATGCAAAGTAACATTGCTAACAACTGCAACCAGCAGTTTGCACCATGAACACCAAAGCCTAAGAACTGCTGTCTTCACGGAGTCTTTTGAACATTCTTAAGGAGGCAACACAGACATGTGTCTTTTATGTTATCTATATAAAGATACACATCTATTTTAAAGTCTTTGATACCTGGAACCTACAACAGTTCAGAGCCTGGCCAAGAACAAGAGGAACCAAAGTGTGTCCATTCGGCCAGTATGGGTGCCAGGCGGCTCATGCTATGCACCCTGAGGAAGCCTCAGAGCCTCACCCTCCCTGCAGACACCGCTGAAAAAGCTTGACTGTGCTGATCTAAAGCCTGCAGGAAAGTAACATCCGGGAACATAGCAGAGGGAGGACCAGCACCACTGCCACAAGAGCGGTGTCAAGATGAGATGCAGAACTAAAGCACATGGGGGCTGCAGGTTTGTGGACAGCCAGCCAGCGCTGTCCATGCTCATGGCCCTGAGTGTTACAGTATTGCAGGAGGGTGTGGTGATTTAAGACTACCAGATGGCCTCTAGTCAGCAAGGGAACATTAGTGGATGGTTATAGTGAGCTCTCTATTAAAAGAGAGGGTCTGCCTACAGAGCAGCTCAGATAAACAAAACACTTTGATGTTTAAACGGGTGGAGCCAGGAGGGAGCTGGGAAAGCTCAGCGCTCACACTGGCTTTTTGCAGAAAGAAGGCTGTTTGCTTTGTTCACTTCATCCCAGACTCTTGCCCTGACTTTCAAATCTGCATACGAAAGAGGGTCCAAACCCCAAGTAGAACATTTCCCTGTTGGAGTGGTTTCATAAAGGATGGCAAGACTGCATGCTATGTGTGAAAGTGCTTTGTCAACTGTGAACTGATTAGTGGTGTCACTGTTTACGTTGTTTTTGTTTCATAGCTGATGGCATGTGCTCACAGATTTTAAGTTGTGGCCTTAGACCTAGAGGAGAGCTCATGGGAATCCAGATCATGGAAAGATGGAAGGGTTTCAGGACACGTGTGCCCTCCAGTGGCCTCTAAGGGGTGAGGAGTGTCATGTGTCATGCTAATGGCATGTAGGTGGGCTTCTACCCACACTCAGCTTAAAGAAACCATTCTAGACCTGCCTTCCACCACTGCAACCAATGTAGTTTGTGTCTCTCTCACCCAGTGCCCTTCACCTCCATGGAATATCAATATGTATCATCAGGCTAGGACCAGGTTAGCACTGAGGCCTATTTTGCCACAGCTTTCCCATCTATGATCCCTGCTCTTTTCATCTTCTTACATATTAACCCCATCAATAGCAACTAACTGAGCAGGTGAAATGGAAGGGGACAAGCAGCCCATACGATGAGGATGACTCAAGGGCACTTCTCAACTTATCCCCTATCCCAGTGGAATTACAGTTACCAAAGGCGCAGAGACTGACCAGGGCCAATGTCAGGCAACTGTTCTGTCCTCTGCTTGTGTGTCTTCAGCCAGTATTCATGGAACCATACATAGCATATGTCAGTGCTACAAGTTCAGTAAGATCCATGCTTTGATGTAACAAGAATACTTTGCTCTGTCACACATGGGGCTAAAGATGCCATGTGTTGCATGTCCTTACTTAGTTGTTTTAAAATCCCAAATATGTTCTTGAAGAAAAAAAAATCAGCAGACCTTACCCAGTAATATCAATATAAGTAACCCCTGGACACTGAGTGGGAGTTGTTTTCCTTATGTCATGAGCACTAGTAGACTTTGGAAATATATTTGCAAGATCAGTGCAATGACATCTGTTCTAAAGTAGTGTTGGGGTATTTTGGTGGGAAACTCTGCAGTGAATAACTGTCTGCTCCAGAGTTTAGGGTTTGCCATCACTTACTTAAGAAGGTGAGGTTCAAGAAAGCATTGAAATATATACTTACTATTCTTTGTTTTCCAGCATGCACATCTCTGAAAGCCAACAAGAATTCTTCCGAATGCTGGATGAAAAAATTGAAAAGGTAAGAATGCAAAATAAATAAGGTAATAAACTACATTATTTCAGATTAGAAGCTGGGAGATGCTTTTTACCACCATGTTCTAAATCTTCTGGCAAAGGATTTGACAGGAAGTAAAAAAAAAAAACAGAGTGTATATGAAAATAATAATGAGTTACACCCCCAGAGTCATAGGCTATTCCAGCTCATTCTAGTGAGTCAGACCTGGTAGAAGCTACTGACTGCTAAGGATGGCTACTGCCTACAAAAGGTGCCTGCATCGCCTGACCCTGCACTGAGTCTTTCAGACATCTCATCTCTGTTTACATTACTCCCCTCCTCTGGGCAATGATTTATTTGCCTCCAGACCACACCAGCAGAGTGCTGTTACAGATAACACACAGGGCTATTGTCTGCATTTTTGTGAGGCTCAGAATGCTTGAGTGACTTTCCCACAGTTGCCCACCTAACACAATGCTCCCCTTAGGCTTCAGCCTCCCTTCTTACATTTTCAATTGCTCACAGGCAAGTGTGGTCCAGAAATACTAAAGGAAAAGTCAAATAATAATTCATAGCTCTTAAGTAACTCATGACTATTGTTAGAACTATTATTCATTGTCATTAACCTCTTACTGTGCCAGATCCATACATTGAACTTTATTTATTATACACTTGGAAGTACCTGTATACACCTACACAGGGCCTAACCATCGTCCAGTCAGACGAGGGTGGTCACCTGACCCTGTTACAGAGCTGAAAATTCCTCTCACCCAGTACTGTTGGAGCCATACTGCCAGAGCACAGCATTGCCTGTGTGTGTTTGTGAAGATACTGCTGTTAAAAAAAAAAAACCATACTCTACTGCCAGTTATATGGGAGCACATTCAGTTACAGTACATGGTGATTGGTATACCTGTTATACTACTTGTAGCTATTTTTAAATGCTTTCCTTCTGTATATAACAAAATAGAAGTTGGCAGTAGGAAAGGGTGGCCTTGCCACATTGATATCCATCTCGTGCATCTTGGGTACCTTAACAAGCCACATTAGGTGACTGACCTATGCCATCCAGATTTATAGGAACTCCCTCTCTGATGTTTGAACAACAAAATTGTCTGGTGATAACATTTCTATAAATGGGTCTTCATCATTATATGACGTGTGACTGTATATAGGAAACCATACAGATAATAGGGATGGCTATAATAATGGGGATTGGGATTCCAGAGTTCTGTCTCTCTTCAGAGTCTTCAAGTTGTTTCTCTAGCCACCTGTGGATTTACATTGACAGTAAAGTATACAGTTGAACTGTGTAGAAGTGTAACAGTAACTTGATCTCAAATGTTGCATGTACTGAATGGAGTACGGAATCAGACTTACAAATCTGACATAACTTACAAATGCTATTCTAAAAAGAATTAATTCAGAACACATTGGACTGTAATTAAAACATCACAGGACAGTCTTTTGAGTTTCAGTTTTGATTATTTTACCTCCTCTTTTGATGTGTATGTGTGCTAGTGCACATGTTGGTTTGGAGACACATGTGTATGCATATAGAAGCTGGAGGTCCATGTTAGATATCATTCATCATAATGTCTCCACTTTGTTTTTGAGGCAAAGTCTCTTGGTGGGACCTAGAGCTTGCCAGTTGAGCTAGTGTTGCTTGCCAGTGAGCTCCAGGAATCCACTGTTTCCACATCCCAGTGCTGAAGTATAATCATGCACCATCATGCCTGGCTTTTTTTCAATGTGAATTCTAGAACTCAGGTTGTTGTGCATGCAAGTTAAGTACTTAATGATGGAGCATGCTCTCTCTCCTCTTTCTCTCTCTCTCTCTCTCCACCTCTCCTTCTCTCTCTCTCTCTCTCTCTGTCTCTCTAGACACCCTCCCTTTTTGAAGATAGGATGCTCTTAGGTGGGTGTGTCAAGTTTTATTTTGATTTCTTCTTTGAAAACTTCATGCATGTATACCTTTATTATACCTACCCCTCACTCCCCACTCCAAGAAATTCCACGCAGTCCTCTGCCCCATCACATCTCTCTCCCAACTTCATGTTCTCTATTATAATTTTTTATTTATTTCTAACCCACTGAGTCTGATTAATGCTGATCATATGTGTGGACACGGGAGAACATGGAGAACCTACCAGGAGCCACTCTTATCTAAAAAAAAAAAAAAAAAAAAAAAAAAAAGACAACTCTCCTGTCCAGCAGCCAATAATTCCTCAGCTAGGGGTGGAACCTGCTAAGTCCCTCTCAATTCCATGCTGGAAAGTTTAACTGGCTTGATACTGTTCTCGTATAGGTAACCACAGCTGCTCTGTTCATGTGTGCAACATCCATGTCATGTCCAGAAGACAATACATCGCAGCACTCCTCCCCATCCTCTGGTCCCTACAGTCTTCTGCCCCACCCCACCCCTGCGTCCATGATATTCCCACACAGTGGGCAGGGATGGGGATATTGATGTCCCATCTTTGACTAAACACTCATAATCTCTTGTTCTTAGCACTTAAAGCAGCCATGCCTCTCTGCATTAACAATTCCCCACTGTGGTGAGAAGCTTCTCTGAGCAAGGTTGGAAGCAGCACAAGTCTATTGATAACAACATAAGCATTTAGAAGGCAGTTTGACAACATCAATAGGTTCTCCTCTCCGACTTCCCTAGTTTTGTGTTTTGACCATGTTTATAGTCTCAGGCACAAATTCCCTCCTGAGGAGCAGACCTCAAACCCAATTGGAAGAGTAGTTGGTCGTCCCCTTAACTGCCTTGCCACCATTGCAGTAGGGTTTGCATCTTGTCTGGAAGGTCAGTATTGTAGCAGGAAGAGTCCAGCAATGGGTAAAACCCTTGAATTCTTCATTCCCCAGAAGCCTGCATAGCACCTTCCAGTTCTATGAAAGCCAACCAGGGGAGAGTTTTCTGGCTTACTCTGTGTCCTACAACCAAATGTATGGCGTCTCCAGAAGTATGATCTTACCATCTAGTTATGGTAGACAAACTAAGTGCTAAGAACAGTGACTATAGCCTGTTTTATTTTTGTTGCCTCTGGTTATTCTCTGAGGAATAACTTGTATGGAGGTAACCCATGCCTGGCGCCGAGATTTTCACTTAATAACTGATGTCTTTAGAGAGCAACATTATTTATTAACGTGGGGTACTTCTGTTCAAACTCCTTTTAAAAATATTTTTAATTAGCTTGCATGCTAGTGGAGTTTCCTAAGGCTTCATCATACATCTGTAATTATAGTTAACCCACCCCTACCTCTCCTTTATGCCACCTACATCTATGCCCACTCAAACCTTTAGCTTCCAGTAGTCTCCCCCATTCCTGCATACTCCATGTGTTCTACTATCGTGATTTTTCACTTGCACTACAGGATCATGAGGTCCCAAGTAGCTTTTTCATGTAGACGTCATTTTAGTTAAGGCTTTTCCTGGCCCCTTATTTCCCCATTCCTCTCACTATGCCAACTGCTTGAGTCATTTTCCCCCAATATTCCCCCTCTACTTTTCATCTCACTTGTATTTTACCAGCTTTCTTGTGCTAAATACAAAGAATTGAAGAAAAGATACACATACGAGAGATACTATGTGGCTTTCTTTTGTTTTTGTTTTGTTTTGTGGGTGTTTCATCTGGACATCTCTTCCTGAAATCCTGCCTTATGGTTACACTATTTAATGCAAGGTAGAAATTACCTTAAATTTGTAAGAATTTCAGAATAGACCCAGTATCAAAGTGGAACTATGAAAGAGTAAGTTCATAGTCTTCTATCTCATTGAAAGATGGAAGTGTCAAGGACAGCACAAGAAAATCCACAGAAGCAACTAACCTGGCTCCTAGGAACTCACAGTCTGAACCAACAATCAGGGAGCCTGCATTGGGCCGACCTAAGCCCTCTACATATATGTGACAGTCGTGTAGCTTGGTCTACTTGTGGGACTCCTAGCAATGGAAGCAGGGCTGTCCCTAACGCTTGCCTGGCTCTTGGGAACCCATTCCTCATACTTGATTGCCTTACCCAGCCTTAATGGAAGGGTAGGTGTTTAGTCTTGCTACAACTTGTCATGCCATGCTTTGTTGACACCCATGGGAGGCTCGTCCCTTCCTCAACAGAAACAGAGGAGGAGTTGACTGGGGGTTGGGGGGAGGTGAGAGGGAGGGGATGGGAGGAGAGGAGGAAGGAGAAACTGCTTGGAAAGTAGAAAGATTTAATTTTAAAAAGGAAGACCAGCATCTACTACAAACGTAAAAACTAGAGATAGGTAATGATAGCGTTCCCAGCATTTTTTATTTTCAGTAAAATACTGACATGTCTGACTTGACATTGAAAACTTCATTTCAGATTAATTACCAAGTTTCACATATTGGTTCATGTTCAGCATGCTGATATCATTTTGTTTAGTTAAAGAAAAGGTAAAAGAGAAAATCATTCTCACTGTAATGATAAAGGTCTTTTCTTTTTCTGTTTATTTGGCTTTTCTGCTACTAGCTTTCTTTTGACAATAAAAAAGATTTGCTTAGTGGTTCAGGGTAGACTAGAAAAACTGAAACCTATATTTTATGTTTTCAACATTTATGAGCTCTGATAGACATTAAGATGACCTCGTCCCTTCCCAACAAGTTTCCACGACTGAAACTGTCTCCTTTTGCTCAGAACCAAGTTCATCGTTCCTGTCTAAAACAAGACTTCCTTTTGCACCTAGGATGGGTCATGACATGTTTGGCACAACCAAAACACCAACTCTGCTTAAGCCATGCACTGGGTAGAACCTCTCCTAGACAAGGAGTATTTTAAATTCGATATGAACAACGCCCCCACTATTGGACACCTTTTCTTTTTTCTTCTTTTGTTTGGCTCTGATAATCAAATGCAGAGGCTCATGCCTGGTGCCTGCTAGGCAAATGTTCTGCTTCTGTGCTGTGCCCCAAGCCCAGATACATTTATATGTAAAAGAAAGCTGCTACTCCACCTGACATGCCCTCTCTGGCTTTGTGCAGATAATCCCCTGGCCTATA